AATAATATTCAAAATGATGGACGTTATTGGGTGAATGCCACTAATAAGTGCACTGGCTAGGACCATGGTGTCAGCATTTCTTTGATGACAAATCATTGCGAATCATGGCGTGGCAGCGGTTACGAGTCTTGGCTGAGTCACACATTAAGAGGTCCTCTTTATCTGTGGCTGAGTTGACCTTCTGTGTGTCTTTATTCTGTGTGTCCATCTAAACTGGTTGTCTGATTCATGTCATGAAGTTCATTATGAAACTTAATACAAACATTCAAGCATTACCTTTACGTTTCTTATCTGCAGCATAAATTTGATGAGTTCCTAAGAACGCAGAAATATGACAATAAGAAGAGGATAAATAAAGCAACTTTGACACAGACCAAAGCAAGACACCTACTGACAACATACTACAGGTTACTTCTCCGGGCACTCGAGTTTCCTTTCGTAATAACTGAGCTCCTAGGGAAAACACTTTAGACCTGAGAGAGGGATCTAGTATCGATAATTTTTTCTGTGTTGGTGTTATGTACTCAGGTGAATATGATGTTTGTGATGTTACTCTGAGTGTATATCCACACCGGGCAAGCTTGAAAAATATGCCAACTGAGCTACGCGGTCAGGTCGGTTCGAGTATGTGATATTTCGGAATTGAGTCTAGTTCCTTCGATATCAATGCAATCTAGTAATCATTTTTTTTCTGTGTTGGTGTTTAATTCAATATCACATACTCGAACCGACCTGACCGCGTAGCTCAGTTGGCAGAGCATTGGGCTAGTATTCCAAAGGTCGTAGGTTCGATTCCCACCGTGGCCAGGCATATTTTTCAAGCCTGCCCGGTGTGGATATACACTCAGAGTAACATCACAAACATAGTGTCGATAAATTGAGTTTAGTTTCTTTCAACACTGGACCAATATTAAGAAAGCTTCGGATTCAAAGGGACACAGCTACCAGAAAAATACAAGGAGAAATTCGATGTTTCGAGAGAAGGCCCATCGTCGGACGTCTAGGAAGAACAGAGGTCCTCCAGAATCGGTAGAGCTGCTGTAGTATTAATAAAGTTACCTTCACCACTTGGACGATTCTGTAAACAATCAATACTATTCACTACCCGTTTTTCGCATGCGTCATAGCGATACACACAAGTGCCTGGGTAGACAGCCAGCCAGACTGACGTCGCCAGTTTGTCAACTTCGTCAATACTCCCTCCGTAAGTCTGGCATGTTTGTAACGTAGTCACTGTCAGGTTGTCCAGTATTGGGTTATCAAGATCACAATCCTCTGCAGCGAGATGCTGCTTCTCTTGCAAGGTTTCTGCGTTCAACACTGCAATACGGCCCTTGCCTTTACCGCACCAGACCTCGTAAGTAAGCTGAGGCGATCCATCTCCTCTTTCTCCTTGGTTGTCCTTCGGTATTCCAACTACTGCCAGGCAATGGACATAACTATTTCCAACGTAGGTTCGTAATGGCGATAGGTCTTTAGGTGAAGTTAGATCACAACTCTCGCGAAACTTGTTATGGCTGTAGACATTATCGGAGTAAGCCATGATGTGACCGTTATACAAAGCTACAAGCACGCAGTGGCATTTAGGAGCATGGATCATACTCATTATATAATTGTCACAACGTAAAGCTCCTTGGCACAGTGGTTTGTATGTGATCGCACAGTAGACGTAGATAAAACCAGCTTCTGAGCCTAACCACACTGTATTGCCAACACTACAGGCTACACGAATTACGTCTTTACCCACGACGAATTCCTAGTGGGGTGAAAAGAATAATTATATATTTATAGTCGCTCTTCACATTTTACCATTGGCCATAACAAATAACATAAAAATAACTGTCATCCAGTCACGACTCTGTGATCGGAATGTTCCATTGTCTTTTCATTGTTATGAAAAACCCACTATTATCCATGACATCCAGTCACGATCCAGTGATATTGTCTTTTCATTGTTTTGAAAATCCCATTGTTCTCTACACGCATTGTTTTGACTTCTATTTATGCAAAGGTTGACAAGTGATATGAAGATATTTAATCTATGACAGTTAAGAAACCTACCTCTAAATGGTTAGAACGACCATTGCTGTAACATAAAACATCGACAGTCTCTTTATGTATACTAGCATTCAGTTTACTGTGAAATAACCAAACCTCCTTACCAATACTCAACTGCCCGTCTGCACCATGACCTGTAAAATTAAAACAATATACATGTACGCCAGCATATACGGGGTGTCCCAAAAAAACCGAAAACTATTGAAACCGCTTATTGTTAAAATTGAATGCCCTACCAAAAAGCTGAACGTAATGATCCGTAAAATATTGACAAGGAGCATGTATTAAAATTTAGTTAAGAACATCTCCTTGTAAAGTGCGCAATTTTCTGCTCTTGGGAATTTAAAGCAGCTTCTCAAATAGTTTCTTTACGCATAAAATTTACTTGTGTAAATCATTTATGCACTCGTTTGGAACCAACAAAGTGCTATTGGCATTCAAATTCTAATAATTACATTGTTATTGGTGATTTCAATAGTTTTCGTTTTTGGGGGACACCTTGTATATAGTTCAGATGACTGCAGTCTTTACTCCATATATATATATATATAGAGCTTACTGGAGACTCTCACCAACCTGCATAGTCACGTGACCTGGTGGTGATAGATCTAGTGAGATGTAGAGCTTCATCAAATGTAAGAACATCCAGCAATCTTGGAAATTCAGAACATGATGATGTGCTATATAGTTGACTGCTCGAAGGACGATCTTCGGGATTCTGAGCCCAGCACCAGACCATGAGTTCCAGGGCAAAGACAGGTGCACGCTTCTCCTACAAATAAGGGCACGGGAATTGAAATAGCATTTGGAAAAGAGCAAGTATTCGCAGATTAGTAGAAGTGTGATAGTTGTGTAGGATGGTGGAGTGAGGTGGACATTGAAATGAAGGCGAGCTATGGACACTTAACAAGAAGAGATGAAGAAAGCCGGTCAGAATGATCATGGTATAAAGTGACGTTGAAAAAAGATGAGGAATGGCAAGGTTGGGATGGTGTGGACACGTACTAAGAGATGAATATGAACCTGTGATATTATGGACCAGGAGATAAAGAGCAGAGAGAGACTGAAGACCAAATTATTCACTTTGCAGAGGAATATCTAAGTATCGAATAACAGACGATGGACACAAAAGAATGCAGACAAAAATCTGATCACGGTTAGTCTGCGAATGGGTAAAGTTTAAATAAAAGAATTGAAAGTACGATTTAGAGAGGTTCAGATTTGACTTCCACTATCGCAGGAACAATCAACCAATCAATCAATCAATTAATCACATGTGTTTGATATATCAGATTAACCAATCAGATGTGTTTGATATATCTGATTAACCAATCACATGTGTTTGATATATCTGATTAACCAATTACATGTGTTTGATATATCCGATTAACCAATCAGATGTGTTTGATATATCCGATTAACCAATCAGATGTGTTTGATATATCTGATTAACCAATCACATGTGTTTGATATATCCGATTAACCAATCACATGTGTTTGATATATCTGATTAACCAATCACATGGGTACTAAGCCAGTGAGAGGCAGTGGAAGTCAAATCTGAAGCTCTCTACTGTACATATCACTCACTTTTGATGATAATTGAGGTCTTTTGCCTTCAACCACAAGTTGTTTAACTTGAGCAGCATTCAGATCCGAGAATGGTTGGCCAAGTGTGATCAACTCGTACAAAAACATCCCAAATGAGAAAGAATCCACCTAAAATTGGGCAAGTTCAAATTCAGCTGTCGTAATTGACCATTTGCGTAATAGACTAAATTTTGAACTAAACAAGTCTAGACAAAAATTTGATCACAGCTTGAAGGAGCATCACAAAATTAGTGATATTCCAAAGTTTCGTTGCAAAATGTTGTAAAATGCGGAAAATATAGCCTTCCGAAATTTGCAATTTTCAGTCATTTTAGATTACAAACGGGAAATTGACAGCCCCAAACCCTTCGAGGCTGTCAATTTCCGGTTTGTAATCTAAAATGACTGAAAATTGCAAATTTCGTAAGGCAATATTTTCCGCATTTTACAACATTTTGCAACGAAACTTTGGAATATTACTAATTTTGTGATGCTCTTTCAAGCTGTAATGAAATTTTTGTTGAGATCAAAATTTAGTCTATTACGCAAATGGTCAATTCGTGTCTGAACTACCTGGAAAAACATTGAACAGCCCTAGGTCTATAATGACTACATCGATTCTTCATCTATTCTTAAGGCTTAAGTGGATCAGGGTATATTTGACCAAGTTCAAGTACATTATGTGTTAAGTTCAAGTATTAAGATCGACAAATTTCCGCATAAATTTCAAACCTTGTCAGTATAGGATTCCCGACCAGAGTACTTCTCAATTTCAGGAGCCATAAAACCTGGTGTGCCACCAAGTCCCTTGGCACCAGCTATGGACGCTGCCCTACTAATACCGTAGTCGGCAACCTTGATCACGACTTGATGAGTGTGCTGATTGGGCGAGAATGGATGAGGAAATTCCCACACGAGAATATTTTCTGACTTGAGGTCACGGTATATTATGTGACGTTTATGAAGGTACTTCAGGGCAGCAGAACACTAGAAAAAGGTGGAGATATTTAGTAAATCTTAAATCTATTTACTTATTTGGGGGTGTTGGTCAGCTCTGTGACCGTGTTGAGGTTTCTACAATATGCAGTTGTGAGATTATAATTTCACCTCAGTCGCATGTGAGAAGAGTGCTTCTAGTTGGACTCAGGAATGGATCCAGCATGATCTGGCAGGGGGGGAGGGGTGCTCTGTCAGCTCTGGTCATCAACTTGTTTGACTATTGCAAATTCTTGCTTGACTACTGTATTTGAATTTTTTTGCTTTTTATCATGAAAAATAGCACCCCACTGCAATCCCTCTGGCCAGGGCTAGGAGGGGGGGGGGGGGGGGGGCTGCACCCCCCCCCTCAGTAAGTCCCTCCCTGGTTGGACTACCAAACACCAATTACTCGAATTTCCTGCTGTAGTAACACTGGAACAACAAAGGTTAGCCCTCAATGCACCTGTAGGGAGACTGTTGAAAATTCATTTCATAGACTTATCCAGTACACATGAAGCCAGTTTAGTTTAAATTTTCTCTTGTAGAAACACTGGAACAGTTGGCCCTTCGTCGATATGAACGGAGAACAGTTCACAAAGTAATAGAGCTATCGAGTGCAAATAAAGTTAGTTTAGTTTAGGAAACCTACTGTTGTACTAGATTGGAACAGTAAACGTTGACCCTTACTGGAGATCCTGAGAAAACAGTTCAAGAAAAGCCCTCACTGGCGCTCCAGGTAGGGCAGTTTAAAACTGATAAAGCTATCCAATAGTACTACATTTAGTTTATCTTGTAGATTCGTAACGGCGTTCAACCAACCTGAACTACACACTTCTGGAGTACATAAGGATCCAGGTGGGGACCAGCTCGCTTATAATCTGCCAAGATCTTATCCAAACTCTTCATCGGAGCAAACTCAAGAATGAGAGACAGCGGGTTTAGACAGAAACCTTTTAATTGTAATATATGTGGATGGTTGAGGTCGACTAAAATTGATAACTCTTGGCGTATGGACCTACAAGATGAGAGCTTGTTAGCATTTACACATATATAAAGGTACACAGTGACCGTTTTGGTTTGTTTAGTATTTGGCATATGAGAGTATAAACAACTGTCCATTGAAGTAAACTAAACTTAACTGTGTTTATACTGGTTAGCTCCAACACTTCTTAGCTCTATCAGTTCTAAACTGATATTTTAAACTGATATGAGCTAGTATTCCAAAGGTCGTAGGTTCGATTCCCACCGTGCCCAGGCATATTTTTCAAGCCTGCGCGGTGTGGATATACACTCAGAGTAACATCACAAGCATCAGTTCTAAACTGTTCTTTATTTTTTCCGTGCAGTAAGCTCTCTATATATGGAACAAGAACTTCAGTCATTCGGCCTATGAGAGCTTCGTGTTAACTTTATGAATTTGGAACTAAAGGCAGAGACATACCGGACGTGATTCGACAACGCGGCGCGACTTATCAGTTTTTGAAAGTTAATAAAACAGCCAATGAAAGGAAATTTTAAAAGATATGTAGACCAAGTAACTCAAAATGTTATAGCACTTCTAAATATTTGAAAAACTTAAACCGGGATCAAAGTTAAATCGCGTCGCGTTGTCGAATCGCGTCCAGTGTCTCGGCCTCGCTAGGCTTTTTCCCGCGGGTCAAAACCAGTCACGCGGGAAAACCTGGGACTACACGAACCTGTAAGCTTCAGTGTATATTTGTTCAGGGACCTCCTCAACTTTGCGTTTTGCCGCCCTTGCTCCAGCTTTTTCTTCCTCAGTCGCATTCTCATCCACTTCATTATTCAACGGCATTTTTAGGGCGACCTGTGCAACCTTGCCATCTCGTTTTAGCTCACCAGCATATACTGTACCAAATGCACCACGCCCCAGTAGTTTTTTACGTGTTACACTGCTCGGCGCAAAATTGAGCTCTGGAGCAATATCTGCAAACACCTGAAAATCAAACAGTGTTTTGAATATTTTTAAGGTAGTTCAGGGTATGAAATAAGATCAACAGAGATCTTAAATAGATTGAATTGGGAGCCCATTGCAAATATCCTCGAACAACGTGAACAAACAATGACATTTAAAGCAATTAACAAAATGACACCAAAATATTTAACAGAAATGTTTACTATGTCCCAGAACGATAATTATGCATTGAGAAGTAACGAACGAAAACTTCACTTATCAAAACCAAACACTAACTTCCTTAAGAAAAGTTTTTCCTACCGCGCAGCAGTGTCATGGAATAAACTTCCAAACGAAATTCTCGAGGAACATGAGCATCTTTCATTGAATCAGTTCAAAAGGCTTATTAAAAATTGCTAAGATAGCGAAATTTTCTCGAAATTTTATCGAATGTTTACTTGCATTGTAAGGTCGTTTGCATGTTATACTTCAATTTGAATTAATGTTAGTGTGTTATACTTTAGGTTTAGATTTAGTTTTATATCTTTTTAATAGTTTTAGACCACGGCCCTTTGAAAAACAGGCAACTGAAAGGTTACCGTGGATAAATATGTTTAAATAACAATAACACAAACTACGGTAGCTCTTTGAAATACAGTGTACTTACACCGGACTAGCCTGCGTGGCAGGCGGTTTTTTTGCGAGCAGCGAAAATTAGGGAGGCGAAGACCTAATTTTCGCTGCCCGCAAAAAACCCGCCTGCCACGCAGGCTAACTCCGGACCCTATGTGGACGCCAGTGAACTCTCTCTATATATATATATATCTATATATATATATATATATATATATATATATATATATATAGAGAGAGAGAGAGAGAGAGAGAGAGAGAGTTCACTGGTGGACGCTAGGTAAAGGACTCCGCACACTGGAAAATATTGCGCCCTTAATTGTGCTGCTGACTCGTTAGTTCAAAAAACTTTGTTGGGTTTTTAGTATAGCGAGATAGATTAATATTAATTAAAGTCAATGGTAATTACTTACAACATCGGGTGCAGCTTCTTTCAAAGGTAGATCACCATCAATAGGACACGTCACGTGATCAGATGTATGTGATATCACCACACATTCTTCAAACTCAAACGTCGCTATAACTCTCTCACCAATTCCACTGCCGTGTCTTGGACTGGGTGGAACACCGGAAGTCTGGGAACTAGTTCCAGACCGCTCTGTGTCGCTATCTGTCGTATCCTGTTCGTACTCATTCTTCTCAGGATTAACATTATGAGAGACTGGGGATGATTCTCTGGAGGAATCGTCTGGATCTATAGTAACAAAGCTGCTATCGGTCCCCAGGCCACTGCTCGACCCGCTGTCGGAGGATGGCGATGTTGTATCACGCACAGGCGATTCATCTCGCGTGGAACTCACGTCACGCGCGGACCCCATCTCTCGCGTGGGCACTTCGTCGTCATCATCTCCAGGGGTCTTGCGATAAAAAGTACTCTTACGAAAGGGTGATGAACTTTTGCCATGCTCATCGCCATTGCAAACATCGTCCCTAGCCTTTCGCGACTCGCGAAGATGCGGTGAAGGCGGAACTCCCATGGAAATAATCCGTCCAATGCATTTCTGACAAGGAATAAGCCTGGTGACTAGATTCTCGCCAAAGATGTTGGTTGTGTCAAGGCCTGGGTACCAGTCCTGAAGCAGGGTATCAATGTGTTGTATGGCAAGAGCAAGGAAACGAGCAGCAGTCTGGATGTTCGAGTCACTCACTGACTTCACGCGAAATCCCACGAAATTCTTGGCAGGAGATTCGTTTTCCCGTCCTAAAAGTAGATAAGATATTGTCCAGCTCCTTACAACAACTACGGAAAACAACATTTGATTGATGTCGTCGAGGGTAAAAATAGATGTCTTATTTTATTTTGCCTTCAGTCAGTTGACTTTAAACCTACGAGTGGGCCATTTCCCAGATGATGATGTTGAAAATGATTTACTAAGGGCATGGTTGCTCAATTCACCCTAGCCAGAGGCGCGTAAAACAGGTCTCAACAACTAAGGCCTTGGGAGAAAGACTCCAGAAGCACAGAATCAAGCTGTACAGAGTGGTCAAACGAATTTTCCTTTGTCGGCATCGCCACAGAATAAGGCACAGAGAAGGTCGACTCGAGTAACCGCTGCCACGCCATGATTCATCATCAAAATGCTGACGCCATGGTCCTAGCCAGTGCGCGTTTGAGAGGCATTCCCCCCCCCCTGGACGTCCGCCATTTTGAATATTATCAGGGGGTGAATGCCTCTCAAACGCGCACTGGCTGCATTTGATGACGAATTACGGGTTACGCCAAAATCATAGGAAAATCATAGGAAAAACCAAGAAGTCGGCCTTCTGTGTACCCTATTCTGTGGCAACGCTTTTGCTGACGTGATAAGCAACACCGACAAAGAAAAAAAGTCACTTCGCGCGAACAAATTCGCCTAGTAGAAAACAGGCTTAGCCTACAGGTAAGGGACAGCGCGTTAAGCGCATCTATCACCTGTACTTGCCATGTCTTTCTACCTAAACCTCACCTGGTTCAGTACGCCGTGGACTTTTCTTCACGACAAATTTCTCCATTTCCATCATCACACTTGGTGCTATCACCTCAACGACACTAGATGAAGAAATGCTCTGTTCTTCACCGTTAATCAAAAATTGAATCGACTGGTTTTCTGCAAGAAAATAGTATGTCATTATTATCACCACTGATACATTATTTGACAACGGATAACTCTTTCAGTTCTACACTATTCTCTTAGATGGTCATAATATCGTAGGTCCAGTGTCATTACACCAAAGAGGAAACGTAAACTAAAGTAGCTTTTCAGAGGTGTAACTTAACACTTGCCCGGGGCAAGTGAATATCATGACGGGCAAGTAAACGTTTTATCTTGCTTGCCCGATTGGGCAAGTTGCCTTGCCACAAAAAGCTGCCAGGCATCTTGTCGGCTAAAGTATTTTATAGTGCATTGTGTGCCAAAGCTATATCTGAGGCAGTAGAACATAGCCATATAGAGCAGTGGGAGAACGAGTCGACATGTTGTCCCCTTAATTTATACCCCCTACCTAGGTACCCCAGTGGCCATTGTCTGATGGCAAGTGAATTTTATTCAGGCCAACTAATTTTCATGTCCAACTTGCCCCGAAGGCAAGTGGTCAAAAAAGTAAAGTCACACCACTGCTTTTATATTCAACTGGATAGCTCCATATTCTTCCTTGAGGTTTAGTAAGGAGGTCCAGATTTACTACAGGAGGAACCTTATGCTCGATCAATTCTGTCTAAACGGTTCAATCTCGAGTGTGACTCGTTCTAACTATGCACCTTTATATCACTCACCATCAGGGCAGCCATAGAAAGGAGTATTCTGCAGCTGACATACGCGTAACAGTTTAACACCATAACAAGATAACTCGAGTCCAGTCTTCCAACATGACCACTCGGGCTGAGCAATTTTAGCTCTCTCGCGATCCTCAACTACCACAGATATCCCGTTCGTAATAAATTCCATACATTCACCAACCACAGCTTCCAACTGTTTGTCGTTTATCATTCTGAAAATTGCAATTAACAACAACTTTTTAGTTTTGGGAAACAGGTAATAGTGAAAGGCTCTTTAACTTGTGTAGTGAGCTCCAGATATGTCTGGAACGAGAACTTGAGTCTAGCCAAAAGAAGTGGATATTGGCACATTTTTTATATTCCACTTTGTGGAAACACCGCGTAAATTTATTACTGCAAATTTATTTACGTGGTGTTTCCACAAACAAAAGTATTATAAGTTTTATCGCCATGCAAACCTACAAAGAACTTATTTTTTATATTCTTTGAAAATACAGACAAATTAAAAATTCACTTTATGATTTTTAGCTAACAATTGGTCGAAAGGTAACACTCCAGTTATACGATGCGTTCTTACCTGGTAATAAGTCGAGCCCAGAATCCACTTGGCACATATGACATGACGTATTGCCTCCTCAACACTCTGTTTTCAGTATACGCTGCCATATTCATAGACCGCGCTATAACAGTACTCACTCCCTGGGCCATGATATTACGGCTTCCAATCTGCTGTTCAGGCAATAAAGATGGGACCAACAAATGTTCTGTGATCAATGGTAGAGCGACTTCAAACTTATTCAAAAGGTCTATATACTCGTGTATGAACTTTGAAGGAAAGCGATCACTGCGGAATAACTGGGACAGATCTGAAGATCGCATTACACCTGAAAAATCACCGAAAGATAGATAGATCAACTTTATTTAGGCACACTAATCTCATTCAACATTATGCTGATTTCCATGAGAGGTGTGCTGGCTAACTGTTACAAACTTAAGACTAATTTACTAATACATACAAACTATTATTATATAAATGCTATTAAATATTCACTTAACTAAACTAAACTAAACTAAACTAAACTAAACTAAACTAAACTAAACTAAACTAAACTACTTAACTTAATAATTGAAACTGAGTAAACGTAGTAACGTACCCAGAATGATTACTGACCCAAAAATAGGCCGTACTAAATCTACACTCGATATAACTAATCGCAGGGCCGCAGGGTAGACTCCTGCTACACGGCTAAAATCGCACAGGTTGTTCCAAGTTGATATCGACAGGCGTGAACAATGTTGTGCGACCAACTATGAACAAGTTATCAACCATGTTGTTCCAAGTTGTTACAGTTGAACAATGCTGTAACAACATGTTGACAATACTGTTCATAGTGGGCCGCACAACCTTGTTCACGCCTGTTGATATCAACCTGGAACAAGTTGTTGATTTTCTCAATTTGTATGCGCGTACAGGGCCTCTAGTTGCATTTTTCGCAACTGTTCCTAGTGAGGTATATGCATTGAACTAAAAATAACTGGAACGCTACGTTCAGTAAACTGCGCATGCAAATTTTGAAGCCAAAATTTGACTCCCATGAAGCCAAATGAAGCCAGTTTTGACTCCCAGACACGTACTTCCACGCGTGTTTCTACTGCGCGATTTACTCGCGAGACAATACAGGGGGCGCTTGAAGCATGCCGTTTTGAACGTTTTCATGGCAAGATGCGAATCGAAAGGGAAACGGGCCTTTTCAGTTTAAAACGGGCCTTTTAAAGCCTGTGTACGAGCTTGTATAATTTAGCTTCAAACTTCCGCTTGAACGTAGCGTTCCAGTTATTTTTAGTTCAATGGGTATATGTATAAAATTCACAATTTCCATCTTCAAAACCTTTCTACACATAGTACTGAATTCAGACTTACCGTTTTGGACAAAAGGGTTGACATCTCGTATAGCCACAACATGCGCCATCATATCACATAGCCACTGCGGGTCAAGAAAATACAACCCGGATAGCGAGGGATCATCATAGTGTAGTAATATACCATTATCATGCAGGAATTGACATGCTTGTTCCAGTTCTTCATGATCTCGAAGCTTTACGTCCTTTATTTCCAGTTCACGTTCAACCTTTTGTCTAAGGTAAGAAAAAAAGATTATTATGTACCAAAGTTCATGTATTCTTGCATCCCATTGGACGAGAGGATATCATGTGGAAGTCGTGATATTCGTAAATCTGCTGGCAACATCTCTAAGCTGTGAATAAGATCGGTGCAAAACAGGAAAACTTGTTGACCGTACCACGAGAAAGTAAACTTGTCAAGGAAACTTATCAAGGAAATTTATCAAGGAAAATTTGTTGACCGTACACACGAGAAGGTAAACTTGTCAAGGAAATTTATCAAGGAAAACTTGTCAAGGAAATTTGTTGACCGTACACACGAGAAAGTAAACTTGTCAAGGAAACTTGTCAAGGAAATTTATCAAGGAAAACTTGTTGACCATACACACGAGAAGGTAAACTTGTCAAGGAAACTTGTGAAGGAAACTTGTCAAGGAAAACTTGTTGACCGTACACAAAAGAAGGTCAACTTATCAAGGAAATTTGTCAAGGAAAGCTTGTTGACCGTACACACGAGAAGGTAAACTTGTCAAAGAAATTTGTCAAGGAAATTTGTCACGGAAAACTTGATCGTTTGTACACGGGGTCAACAATGTCTATAAAATTCACTACGTTCTGAGGACTATTGGAGAAAATAATGTTTTAAAAGCAATGTTTACGATAATGCATACCTGAAGACGTCCGCTTTCAATACAGGAGTTTGATTGGTAAAATAACACTCCATGGTGATAAAATTTACAGCATCTTTCACAGCTAGATAACTGGCTGGTATTAAATGTTCTTCCAGTAAGTTGTGTCCTCCTGTTACAAAATAAATAACATGTACGGACGTCTGACAGTAAAGGCCGAAACATAGAAGGCTATTTTTGCTGCAACTTGCAAAGCAATTTCTGAAATAGAGCCATTTTATCTACACAGTAGTTGCTGGGAAATTGGATGACTGCATATGGACCTTTCCCCTTATAACTAAAATTTTGATCTAGACAAAAATTTCATCACAGCTTGAAAGAGCATCACAAAATTAGTAATATTCCAAAGTTTCTTTGCGAAATGTTGTAAAATGCGGATAATATAGCCTTGCGAAATTTGCGGTTTTTCAGTCATTTTGTATTACGCATGGGAAACTGACAGCCCAATCGGGTGTTGGGGCATCAATTTCCCGTTTGTAATACAAAACGACTGAAAATTGCAAATTTCGCAGGGCTATATTATCCGCATTTTACAACATTTCGCAACGAAACTTCGGAATATTACTAATTTCTTGATACTCTTTGCAGCTGTGATGGAATTTTTGTCTAGACTTGTCTATATCAAAATTTTAGTTATAAGGAGAAAGGTCCATTGCAGGAATCAAGCCAACAACAAACACGTGATGCACATACCAGGTCCTTTAATATCCAAAGCAGTGGTATAAATCATTTCTCGAAGTTGATTGATATGGTGACCAGTCGTACAGCTAACGTCAATCACTCGTAGAACTCTCGGCAGTCCCCGTTCACGAGGGATTCCGATCCCACCATCTAGATCTTTGCCTACGTATTGTTGATAGATCAACTTGCGCATGCGCTCAACAAATCCATTTTTCTTCTCATGTGCCGTGAGCTGGTCATAGAAAGTACCGACGATGATCACGACTGAATCCGGAGCTCGGGCCTGAAGAGAGAGAGATACAACTTATTCAAGGTATAAAGTTGAATCTTGGATCTGTAGTTTAAGTAAAACCTATTCATTCAATGCTGTAACAAACCTGTATATTTAACAGCCATGGATGCAAATTCTTCACTCCTTCTTCACCATCAGTAAGTTTCCAGATAGCGAGATAAAGTGCACGATGTGTCAAAAAAAGTTGATGGGTAGCATAATACTCTTTCTAAAATAAACAAAATTTTTTTTTTAAATTATCATTTATTCAATCACCATGAGCCGTAGATAGAGTTATGTATTGTTTGTTTGTTTGTTTGTATGTATGTATGTATGTATGTATGTATGTATGTATGTATGTATGTATGTATGTATGTATGTGTGTATGTATGTATGTATGTATGTATGTATGTATGTATGTATGTATGTATGTATGTATGTATGTATGTATGTATGTATGTATGCGTGCGTGCGTGCGTGCGTGCGTGTATCATGTACAAAAGTTCTCAGTTTGATAGCTACTATATGGTGTGTGCAGAAGACTAATCATACCTGACCGCCAAAATCCCATGTGCTAAAAGTGACACTAGGTCGATTATTCTTGAAGACATAGCCAGCCGGACTAGGATACACCCATTCAGAGACATCCACTCCAACCGTCGACACGTTCTCTGTCTTCTTGCCTTTGGCTGGAAAGAAGTTACAAAATAATTAAATCCAACACAGAACATCGATTACTTCAAATCCTGCGAGCGAACACACAGCTGACACAGTGAAATAATTTCCGGTTATTAATCTTTGACGTAGCTAAAAGCTTGGAAATCAAAGTCTTTAGGCTCATTTCCACTCAACAAAAATTTCCACGGCCAGAAAATGTTCCGAAAATGTCATTGTTAAAAGTCGAAAATTTTCAACTTCAATATTTTTTTCCACGAAAAATTCGTGTAAGCCAATCACATTTTACAAAATTTTCTTTCTGCGGAAAATTTTCTTGAGTGGAAATTAAAATCATTCGTTGTCTCCCTTCGTCTCGGAACGAACTGATACAGACACATTGACGAAATCATACAGTTACGATCAAGACTTTTATATAATTAGCCTTTCTCTCCCAAAATCCGCCATTTTGGGGTACTGTCTGCCCTCGTGAAAGATTCTAGACAATTCAAACAACGTGAAAAGCGACTTTTAAAAGTTGTAACTGTAAATTTACCATTATACAAACAACTACAATGCTAAGTTGTATTTTGTGGTGCGGAGACTCTCAAACGTGGGAGAGGCAGAAGCCCCAAAATGGCGGAGAAATTGGCCGTGAGAAATGCTAATTAGGTCATCAGTAACAAGATACGCTCCAAAGCCAAGATACTTTCGGGAAGGGTGTATTGCGCGGGAAGGGTGTATTGCGCGGGAAGGGTGTATTGCGCGGGAAGGGTGTATTGCGCAGGAAGGGTGTATTGCGCGGGAAGGGTGTATTGCGCGGAAAAGGTGTATTGCGCGGGAAGGGTGTATTTCGCGGACTGGATATCCGGTAAAATCTATCTACTGTATACCTTGTTAAGAACTGTGACATTGTAAACCACCTTACTGCTATAAGATTTACAGATCGTACAAAATGCCGTTTAACATACTTGGCGTTTTCTTGGTATCTTTGCGTTCATGCCATCCTTTGGCTGCAGAAGATTCTCCTCTCAACTTTCCTAGCAACGTACTCTTGCCAATATTTGACACACCAACAAACATCAACTTCATACTTAGGTAAGGTTCCGACCTACAAACAACCATTATATACAATATAATATAAGTTGGCAATTTAGTCAGACCCACTCACACTGGGAAAAAAAAGTGAAATCCATACTACGACATTTGCAATCGCACCACTAAATCCGTAGTATATCCATACTATTTCCATACTATTCCCATACTATGGAAATATACAATTATTATGGATAACCAAAATCCATTCTATTTCCAATAAAGGTCCGTACAATTTCCATTCTGACTTTCTATGGATTTTCAAAATTTTTTCCAGTGTGATGTCCAGGAATGTTTACCATACTAATTTAAAACTGTATGTGCCAGTGTAGGCAGTATGAACAAGCTTTCTCGTTGATAGGACGTTGGTAGAACAAGCTTCGTTTCGAGAGAAGCGTCTGGAGTTACTAGACACAAAATCAGTAACTCCAGACGAAGGGCTCAAAACGTCGAAATTCTCCTATTTTTCAGGTAGTTGCATTCCTACCAACGAAAGTTTGCTCATAATAATTTAACTACATTAGCTAAGATATTTCTTCAGTAATATACACAAGCTTCCAACTTACTTATCAAGGACAGACAACAGATAGCCAGTGATTGCCTTCGTTCTCTTTTCCAACACACTGGGCGGTGGATCCACCAAGTTCAAGCCTTTCAGATTGAGATCCCAAAGGTCCCCTAACATCCCTATAGCTGGCGGTAACCGCGCTGATTTGGACAGCGGGTTATGACTCACATTAAGTGAGCCCAGTTTAGTCAGCTTCCCGAGTTCGTCAGTCAGATACTCCAGTTTATTATAGCTCAGTGTTAGCGAGATCAGATTTGGGAAAACACAGATATCCCCGATGGTATTTTTGCCCTTCACACTCCCTGTAGGGTTTAATGTCCCACCGGAGCTTTCACCTTCTTTGTTAACGCTTGTCATACTGGAGGTTTTGTGAATCAGGCGCCCTTTACAGAGGAAGCGAACTTCGTGTAAAAAATTGTTGCTCAGCTCAAGACGCTTCATATGACGTAATCGTTTGTGTCTGCAGTGACGACACCACATTCGAGAGACTGGCGACGTCGATACCGATGTCCTACTTCTGCTGCGACGTTTACTCAAGCGACGCTTTTGTACTGGACTGTAACATAACCTGGACAAAATAATACAACAGATTAACACATCACTTTATAGCAAACTTTTTCACAACATATATTGATGTTGGACTTCTGTAATATATACAGTTGTGTGATTATAAAATCCCCTCAGAGTATTTTCAGTTTGACTCTAGCTAACAAACACCGCAGATTTTCTGCCGGAACTAATGTTTCTTCCTGTGATAACACTGGAACACTGACAGATCTTCCTGGATCTCTAGGGAAAATAGTTCAGGCTGAACTCAACAGAGCTATTCAGTATCAATAAAGTCATTTCATAGAACAGGTTTGGGCAAATACGGTACTGGAATATAAGGGGCGCCCTTACCATTACTGAACTTCTAAGGAAAACAATTTAGATCCGAAATGGGTTTCCTCGTTTAGTAACACTGGACCAGTCAGGGACGGAGCTTTGTGGAGCTCTATGAAGAAGAGTGCAAAACTGGTAGAACTATCCAGTACAAATAATATTAGTTTAGTTAAGACAGTATCTTACCTGTCGCACTGTTTGTCCTCGCAGTTTGGTATGCACTGTTTTAATTTGTTAAAAGATAAATCTAGATGCGAGAGATGTTCAGGTATTTCCTGAATTGGAGGAAACTTCTCAATATTATTGTTAGACAACAACAACTTGGACATTTTGGGAGCAAGACACGGCAAGCCGACTGGGTACTTCACTAACTGGTTAAAAGAAAGATCTAGTTTTTCCAAGGGACACTCGACCTGGGTATCCAACTCCTCGTCTTCGTCAGACTCCTCGGTTTCCAGGTTACCGTCACCTAGCAACGATCGGAAACTGGTGATCTTGAGACGTTCTGCAACCGGTTTGTTATCTTTCATGTCTTCACCTCTGCTGCTGCGTGCGTTGGAGGTGCTGGACCCTTGGCTTTCTTCTTCGATTGAGGCACTGCTGGAACGTTTCCATTTCGTCCTAAAAAAACAAAAATATGTTTAGTAATCTCAAATCATCCTACACCTTGCAACCAAATTATAATCACATTGGATGAAGTAAACCAGCTAGGATTGGACTAGCACAATATCTGAGGTGTTGGTTGCTGAAATTCAGCCCATGTGTCTTTGCCCGTGACCGAAGTTCGATTATCGTAACTTGCAGTTGTCTGATTATACTTCAGTCACACGTGAGAAGAATGCTTCCATTTCGACTCTACCAAATCGCGAAGCTTTTCTTCGGGTCATCTTTCTACTACAGTAACACAGGACCAGTAATGGACGGAAGCCCTTGCTGGACCTCTAGGGAGAACAGTTTAGAACTAATAGAGCTATCCAATAGAAAAAAGTTTAGTTTAAGACTTTAAGTTTAATAATATATCTGTTCAGAAACCAACTTTAACCTTGATATACAAACAACAATTTTAAAAAAGTTTCATTAGTTTTGCTTACCCGTTCACGTTCGTACTGAAGACTTCGCTTGCGCTTGGAAGTACGGGAAGACCCTTGATATAATTATTACTCAGCAACACTTGTCTTAAGTTGGGCGTATTCCATATATCAAATGGCAGTGCTCCTATATCATTCATGCTTGCATTCAAAATCCTCAATGCTGGCAATAAAAACAAACACCCTGGCAAGCAAGTCAAGTTATTATTCTGTAAGTTAATTTCCTCCAAGTACGGACAATGCCACATCGCAGCCTCGTTCTCGCGAAATACGTCATCTGACGAAGTATCCCCGACGCTTAACCGACCTTTTCCAACCGGCAGAAGACTGATTTCATTATTCGAAGCAGTAAAGTGCTTTAAAGATGGCAGCTGGAAGATTTCTATGGGTAGGCTTTCCAGGCGGTTTTTGGATATATCTAAGTTTGTTATGGTGGCTGCAAGGCCTAGTTTGTTTAAGGTAACAGCGACCTCAGGTCTTAGGACTGCTTTAGGAGCCGAGTAGATCCATTCTGTTTCTATATTGTTCAATGCATAGTTATGCCACACGATTGAGACTGGGGCCAAGTCATTGCGTTGTTCTCGCAGTTTCTGAGGCAAGTTGTACTCTTCACTTGGGTTCACATCTGGTGAAATGAGAAAATTTGTAAGCTACCACAGGGGTGGATTTCCTGGTGGGGTCATGCACCCCTCGTAGCCTTGGATAGGGTCTGGGCAGACTTTTGGGGGGTCTTGGACATTATTACTAGAGCCAGTTACGATGTTAGATCCGCTGATACGTTGGACATCCTTGGTTGGGAAACACTTAATGCAAGAAGATCGCGAAATAAATCAATATTAATGTCTAAAATACTTAATGCCCACACTGCCCCAAATCTAAAAGATTTACTCCCGAAACAAATATGTAGGTCAGAATACCTATAATCTTCGAAATAGATTTAGGATAGGGTTTTGGACAGATTTTTTTGATCTGGAAAGGCAATTACAAAAACAAAACAAAAATACCATACCTTTTCCAAGAAGCAAAGTGGTAATCTCTTCGTCGTTATTTGTAATCACATGATGGAGACATTTGTTACCAACGTCTTTCGCACCTTGACGAAGCAACACCTTAAATACAGAATAAGGGTTCGCTATAGTTTTCACTTACACAAATAAATGTAATCTTGTTCCCTTCTTCCTCGCTTGACAAATGTGAATGTGCAACAAAGGGGAAGGCTATTGGCTTGCTGTGAAAAATTACAAATTATAAAAAGACGAATCATATAATCACTATTAATAGAGAATCTTCAAAATATTTAATATCAAACTTTCTCTTAGCCTCATTTTATTAATAGACTTTTTTGTGTTATTAATGACCAAGGATAAACTCCGAAACGTCGTTTTTAATAAAAAAATGTTAAGCCTTATTCTTGGTCATTAATAACACATTAATAGAGAGGTTGTTCAGATTTGACTTCCACTACTGTACCTCTTACTGGCTCAGGACGCATCTGATTGCTCAATTGGATAGATTAAATAGATCGGATAGATCAATCAATTGATTGGATAGATCAATTGCATGCGATTGGTTAATCGGATATATTGAACGCTTCTGATTGGTTAATGAATCTCTCTAGCATCGTTCTTAATACCAACCTTCATCATGTCAATTCTCTTCTGATAACAAGCCAGTTGAAGTGGAGTGACAGTACCATTGTTTATTGTATTAACCATATCAGCCATTTCTTCACTGATTTCTTCAAAACCGCTTGCCAATTCGTCTGTACGTGCTGCACAGTTTGGATTTGCCTGGTTTTCGAGAAGTATTTCAACTACGTCTACGTGACCAATCGTCACGGCGTCGTGCAAGGGCGTACGGCCGACTTTCGAACGAGCATTCACGTCCACCTCAGATGTCATCGTACACGGTGGAGTGCTAGAATAGGAATAATAAACAGTTATTGGACCAGTTTTTCCACTTTTTTGTGATTTCCGACAGAGGCGAGATTATAATCTGACAATTCTATATTACACAAATCGAAGTGTGAGACGAAGGGTGTTGTCATATACACACGCAAAAATCTTACTGTACACCTTGTCAACAACATGAGTTCGCAACAGGCATGTAGCAATTACGCTTGTCAACAACGCTGCTATTTAATCAAGTTGCTGCAAGGTTGTCACTAACAAGTTGTTGGCAAATTATTGAACAACAGGACGATAACAAATTGTTGGAACAAGTTGTTGGAACAACTTTTAAAGTCTGTTGAGCTCAACAACTTTGTGTCCAACTTATCAACAAGCTGGGAACAAGCAGTGCGAACACATCCTGTTGATACATGTAAGTTGTTGAACAGCATTGCTACAAGTCTGCAGCAGGTTTTTACAACTTGTGCATTTTAACATGTGTAGCGTCAGTTGTCATATAAGGAATACATTTGATCATATCAGCGCATTTGATCATATATAAATGCTAATTTGCGCTATATAAATTGTAATTATTATTAATTATTACAAATAAAATGTATTGTACGGCATAAAACCTACCAGCGATGATTTGGTTTCAAAAGTATTTTGACAATTTCAGCATGACCAGCAGTTGCTGCATTATGTAATGGAGTCATACCACTGGATGTTTGACAGTTGACATCCAGACCAATACATGGATAGGGTTCAGACCTAGGAAACAATTTCAAAACAAGTTAATAATGGCGGGATGTTTACCAGAGATTGACCGTCTGTCAAGACAGTTCACTTATCCGATGGATTACAGTATCTGTCGTACAGTTATTAAGCATAAAATGAACTAGAGGGAACTGCATACCTCCACCATCAAAGTATCATGTATAAATTATACAATGAGCTAATTACACATTCACTTTTAATACTCTGCCTGGCAATGCAAGAGAAACGTTTGCTAATTTCTCATGCAAGTTTGATACTGTTCAACTTAATGTGCTGTTAACATTTTCTTCAGTCAGGCTCTTCTTCAGTTATGCTTTAATATTTGAACGTGAGGTTCTTGTGTCGGTAACAAGAAACAATACACTTGACTTGAGGGATTATTAACTTTCAGACAAAGTTCTTGTTATATTTTAACACTCACCCATCATCAGTTTGCAGCATAAGTTTGGTAATCTCAACATTGCCATTACCAGACACAATGTGAAGTGGGTTGTTATTCTCAACTTTTGTTCCATGTTTTGCTAATGCTGGAAATTTCTCCAGCAAAGGTTTAACAACCTCTACATTGCCATTAACACAAGCAGCATAGAGAGGAGAGATCCCTGTGAATGGATTGCATTGTCCTGACGCTCCTTTCTTCAGTAATAAATCCACAATGTCAGCATTGCCTTTCTCACATGCTCTATAGTAACAAAATAAACAGTATAAATAGTAGCAATCAAAACTAACAGTGTGGAATGCCTTCTTTTGTAATGTTGATGGCAAACCATGTTACTTTGACTGGAATTCCATTCCTGCAATATGCGATGTCTGATATAATTTCTTCCAGATGGATTCTACCAAAAACTACAGGTTTCGCTAGGTACTCTGGCATTCTCCTGGTAACATTTCACAGATACAGGATGATTGTAAGTGGACCTCTAGGAAAAACATTTGGCTGGTTTTCTGTTCAAATTCAGCAAATTTTGCAGTGTTAATTTTGTGAAGCATTAATATCTTACTTTATTAGCAACGTTTCGCCAGCATTATATTGTTTGTCAATATTAAAACTATCACCAAGTTTCTCAATGATTTCTTCGACACGATGAAATTTACCGTTGGCTGTCTCTGTGATAAGGGCTGAAAAAGAGATTCATTTTACTTTTATATTACCAGTATACTGTAATTGTCAACATTTTAAGCATATTACTACAGCTGGTTATTCAATTTGCCTCACTGCTCTCAGTAGTTGTGAGTCTCTATAATTTAGGACTTAACAAGACGCTACCTTCTTGTAACAATGCCTCTTGTTCCATTCTTCTACGAGCTAGAGAAATAATGTACATAAAAATAGGTACATTAGCGTACAGTACATGTATCTATGGCAAGTTCCTGTTGTTAATTGTACAAATGCAGCCTGGAATAAACCGGTAAAGTGGACAAAAAATGCCAGAGCATGCATACTCTGAGCACTACATAACTGAGCAATGTGTGTTTATCCTGTCTCTTGACAAAGCTTAGTATAAAACATGAAACATGTTGTTTAAGAAAGCCAAGAAAAAAAGAATGTCTGTTTTATTCGACATGGACAATGTTGATAGATTGACTAACAGAAATGAACATATTGACTAGCAACAAACTTGTCAATGGTCTATCTAAAAAAATTTTTTTTAAGGGCCCCTATCTAAAAAAATTTCCCCCCCCCCCATCGCCAAAAAATTTTCGGTCAGTGTACCATTTTAGGGGTAAAAAATTTTTTCTGGAGTACAAAATTTTTCCAGACGAGTACGTTGCAATTGCTTTCAAGGGACTTTATCTCATTTTTTTATGCCAAAATTCGGTACTTAGCCCAAGAAAACAGATATCTTGTCCTTTGCGCGGAAATATTTAACACACAAAAAAGGCTGGGGCCGAACAAAAATTTTTCAGGGGCCCCAGCAACTCGGGGCCCAGGGCAATTTGCCCCCCCTGCCCCCCCCCCCTGGGCGGCCCTGAATAAGATGTTGTATTTTCAGAGTGAAATAATAATACTGAGGGTAACATCCAACCTAGGTAGCAAATATAATTTAATATTCAGGTTGTGTTGATTACCTGTTTTGTTGATTACCTGTTTCATGTTGTAAATACTGTGCACAATTAGCATGAGCCTCATGTACAGCCAGTTCAACTGGTGTCTTTCCATCAGCATTTGGAATATCCAAGTCTGCTCCTCTTTCAACCAATAACTTGATACACGGCAGATGACCATTGAAAGCTGCATGATGAGCCGGGGTCTTGGGTGAAAAAAGAGTCATGTGCATGATGACATGAGACTAGACAGAGGAATTCAGTCTGGAGCTTAACTCAAACT